CCCGCGCGGGCGGCGTCCCCAGCGCTGCAGCGCGGAGGGTCCCCGGGCCCCGCTCCCGCCCGGGGCTTGCGCGTGTTTTCTCTTCGGTGTGAGGGGGCTCATCCGCACGGGGGGAACAGCAGAACTTTCCTCTGTTAACGGGAATAGGGAAGATAAGGTAGCTTGGGGTGTCCTTGCAGTTCCAAGGGTGACTGTGGCTCCCCAGACTGGGGTTTCCATAGGCTGTGACCCCCGATTTAAATCACCTTATGCATAAAGTTCTGAAAGGCCTGACAGTTCCTTAGGTCAGTTTGAAATCTGCCAGCAAAATAACTGCCTTTTTTTTTTTTTTTTTTTTTTGTTATTTGCTGCATGTGCTGTCCAAATCTGCCAACGGAGCATTTGCTTTCCTGTTTGCTTTTGCTGGGCACAGGATTCTGTGTGCTTCTACAGTGATAATTCGGATCATAGACTTAAACAGCTTTTAAGTGACAAGGCATTTATAAGTTTGCAAAGTAATATTTAGTCCATGGTCTGAGAAGCAATGGGTAATTGATTGATTGATTAATTTTTATTTTATTCTTTTCTTTTCCTACAAGGCAGGTGGGATTTACAAAACTGTACTGTTCAATTAAGTATAATGTGTTTTTCAGGGATCAGTCTGTGATAAACAAGTGATACCACTTTTTTTTTTCTTAATTCTTCCCACACTCTAAGTCCCTTGAATAACTGTGGTGTTCCACAACATAAAGGCTTTATACTTTTCTGAATACAAAGTGATTCAACAGGATGAAACAAGTAGTCTGTTCTGAATAAAAGAGAAGAAATCAAATGACAAACAACTGAAATGTTAGCCATCCTCTGCTGTATTTTTCACTGGCTGTCCTACATATGTAAACAAGTTCTAAAATAGAGTTTTTGTATTCATACAAAAGAGTCTCTGCTCAGACTATTTTATTTTCCGTTTATGAACATATGCTTAATTATTGGGGTACTGTTTGAAATCAATAGAATCATTTCCATGGACTTGTCAGGGCTGTAAGGATTAATTGTAGGAACTTTTCCATTACGTTACTCCTTCGTCTAAACATGCATTTCTGGTGTGACTGGCTGGGGATTATATTCATAAACTTCCAGGAGATGAGGCAGTAGACTTCACTGGACCCACCCCATGCTTTTCCCATAAAGAGAAAGGTTCAATTTAGTATCCTACGCAAGCATTTGTGGAACCTGTGTCATACCTTTGGAATGTGGAAGGAAAGGCACTCGAGTTTCATGTAGCCTGTCATGTTCCTGTGCACTATATTTTCATGCCGTGTCTGTGCCTTTAAAGCTGTACCTTTAAAAAGCTAATACGGAGAGTGCTTGAGGTTAAAAATACTGTGCTGTAATGTACATGTGTTTGCTTGCTTGTGTTTATGGGGGAATTGGCTGAAATTGCAGTTTTTCTTCGGATCTAACAGTGCTTTCTGATTGGAGCGTTCATTGCTTGTCAAGTCTGACGTATTAAGAGTGACTGATTAAAAAGTGACAGTGATTTGGTTTTTGTAACACGCGGGGATCTCCCAAGCTCCCGGATTTCTTCAAATTTATAACAGTGTCTATTTGTATCTTTGCATACAGGCGCAGAGCAGTTGTGAAGTACCTGAGGATGGATAAAGATTTCCGCTACTACTTCCAGCACCCATGGTCTCGCTTAGTTGTGGCTTACTTAGTGATCTTCTTTAACTTCTTAATATTTGCTGAAGATCCAGTATCACACAGTCAGACGGAAGCCAATGTTATTGTTGTTGGTAATTGTTTCTCATTTGTAACAAATAAATACCCTGAAGGAGGAGGCTGGAGATTTCTGAAGGTGCTTCTATGGTTGCTCGCCATTTTCACGGGACTGATAGCTGGGAAATTTCTGTTCCATCAGCGTCTATTTGGTAAGTTACATGATGCACCTGCTGACACCTTGATAATGGCTTTGTGTCTTCTGCATTAAACTTTCTGCTCACTGCGTTTTTTTTAAATTTTGCCATACATCAGTTCAAATGTTTAGACCTGTATAGAATATGATATATCAAAGCTTGTGTCGCTGTAAAAATTAATGCCATGTGTAAGCATAACTAACAAAGATTTCAGCCAAAAAAGACTGAAAGCTGATGTGTTTGAAGTAATTCAGAAGTCAGTGATTTTCAGTGTCATAAAAATACTGTTTTGCTTCTTAAAGGAGTAGGAAAGGGCAGTGACACTAGTCAAAAGTCCCAGAAGTGGAAGCAAAGGCACTAAGTATGGGAGCTGCGAAAAAATATTGGCTTTAAATGTTTTGCTTTTTTTTTTTTGGTTGGAGAGTGCTAGGAGGTAAAGAATTTCCTTGATCTTGTCTTTTTGCACCCAAACAGAGAGAGAGAGCTTTATGCTGACAGAGTAAGGTTACCACCATCAGTGGTCCACCACTTTCGTTTACTGTGTGAAGGGATAAGCTCCTAGTGAAGAAGCTACTGAACTGCCACAGTTTGTAGTTATTGGAAATGCTAGTAGTTCCTTGCACGGCAAAGATCTCCGAGCCTTGCTGGTTGCCTTGCTATTGCTGTTATAACTAATGGAGAGTGGTGTTGCAACAGAGCGTTGTCACTGCTCACTGGAGGCATTATATGAGTCAGTGGAGGATTCCTGTTTCTAATGCAGCCTGCTGAATCCTTGGTACCATTTTAATGAGCATTCATTTTTTTTAAAAAAAAATGAATTATCCATTGCATTCCTAATAAGGTATTTTGAGCACATATAAACCTATTGCTTGTACAGGTTTCCAGCCACAGTAACTTTTGTGGAGTGGCTGGTATAGTCTGCACCTTGGCTGATGTTGTAGGTAGTTTTAGTAGACTTGTGATAAGAAGCTTGTATATGAAAACTGCAGTACTATAGAAACACGTCCTCTGTGTCTCCTAATGCAAAGTCAAGTCAATGAAAGATCTACATTGTCTTCACTGAGTTATAGTTCTAGAGGGTTTAGCAACTGTTGCATGCTGGAGTTCAAGGCAGTCTCTAAGTTTTACATATGAGTGGAAACATGGAAAAGTTTATGTCACTGTTGTCAGGTGCAAGGTTTGCACCACTCTTTGGAGCATCTGACGCCAGGTGTATCAAAGACATCCTGTTGATATGCATGGACTAGTGCTATATTCTTAAAATGATAGAGCTGCAAGACAGATCATTACCTGGAGCATCTCTGAGCACACGAGTGGTTGCCATTTCCTTCATTTGCCTTTCCTTCATTTGCGTCATTCTATTAAGATAGGAAAAAAAAAACAATATCAAGCGTTTCAATAAATCAAATGTAAAGTTATTATGCCCGTGGACAAAAAAAAAAAACAAACATATTAAGAGACATCTCTTAATATAGGCTTGTCTTGAAGCACTGGGTCTGAAAGGTAGTTAAGCATCTTGATGACTGTTCAATGGAACAGGATCTCTGCGGTCAGAGATGTGGCTACCTGTGTCCTTGGGGGACAAACATCAGTGTTTCTGCAATAAAGATCTGATCATGTGGATACTTGTGGCAGCACAAAGGACAGATCAGTGTTCTGATCAAAGGAGTTCAAAAGAGGGGTCTGCCTCAGGGAAGCAGATTCCAGGCAAGAGATTCCTACTTCTGACAGCATTGCTGGTGTAGGAATGGTTACACTGAAAGTCTGAGTTAGCAATTGCATGTAGATAAAACCTGCTATGTGGGTAACTGCTGCAGATTCAGTTTTGTGGCAAGTTAAGGCGGCGCAAACCTGCCCCAGACTCCTAACTAGAGCCATGGAAGTTTGGAGCCAGCACTGATGTTAATGAGACTGAGCAAAGAGCCCATGCAGAGAGCTCACAGAATGGATGAGGCTGGAAGGGACCTCTAGAGATCATCTAGTCCAACCCCCCTGCTCCAGCAGGGACACCTAGAGCCACAGGGTGGCATCCAGGTGGGTTTTGAAGATCTCCAGAGGAGGAGACTCCACAACCTCTCTGGGCAGCCTGTTCCAGGGCTCTGACACCCTCACAGGAAAGAAGTTCTTCCTCATAAGGAGATGGAACTTCCTATGTTTTAATTTATACCCATTACCCCTTGTCCTCTCACTGGCCACCACCAAGAAGAGTTTCGACCCATGCAAAGATCTCATCAGCCCCAAGAGCTGATCCCACGCAAAAAGAATTGCTCCTGCCGCTGTCTGCTCCCACTGGAGTTGCTGGCCATGGCATCAGGGACTGTGCAGCCACGATGGTGGGGTCCCTGCGGCCCAAGCTGGCCTTGCTGCAAGCTGCTAGGGAGCAAACGTGCTGCTGCAGATGTGGTCTGGGCGGCGGGGCTGCCGCTGCGGTGGCCGTGCGAGCTGGAGCTGAGCTCCTGTGGAGAGCGGGAGCGTGGAGGGGCCTGCAGAGCAGCTCGCAGCTTGAGTGGGTCCCCGGGTCTCTGTTTGTACAGTTCGTGCTGAGTTACTTCTGCCAGTTATTTGCCACTGCTTTAGTGTCTTGCTTAACCTCAGTTAGCATGCTTATAATTATTTGTTAAACAAGTTTTCTTCTGTTCCACCTACTGTAAATAGAGCATAATCTACATCCTAGAAATATCTCCTTTTATTGAGATCCTCCAGGATGCCTTCTGAATCTTCTAACAGTGAGCACTTTATAAATTTACCCTTTCACTGATTTTAATTTCCCTAGTCAATGCTTTTAAATAGCAGTTTCTCCTGCTATCTTTTTATGTAATCTTATTTTTTTCATGAATGGCTTTTAGGAAACATTTTTATTTCATTCTTGTTTACTTGCTTCTGTTTTTCTGTTTTTATGTTTGTGGAGGGAATTGTGACTGGTTGCTGCTTGGGGCCTGTGCACAACTTCCTGCAGTCAGGAAACCAAATAACCCCAGTCCGACTCCCTGTGTCAGATTTTGGCTCAGAGGATATGCTGCAAATTGAAATTGAGAAGGATTAGTTCACACATCTCACTTTAGATGAAGCGGAGTGAAAGGGATTTTCTTTCCCTATGCCCTTCCGGCTCTTTCCTTCCTCCTCTTCTGTATTTCTTTTTGCTGAGCTGACATTAAGCTAGAAAAGTAGTGTAGCTAAAACTACATTGCAATGTCATTTTCCATGTGACAGACTGTTTGACAGTCGTGACTGGCATGAATTATAAAAATAACAGATTTAAGTTTAAGCATGTTTTCTTTCTAAAAGTGGTGGCCTCTAAGCATCATTGAGGCTTCATCTCTCTGAGTTTTAGAGAGATAAGAGAGCAGGTGAATTATATTGTTGACAAGAAGAAATCTTGAATCTAGAGAACATGTTGAAATGTTTTCAGCTGGTAATATTCATCACAAACCTTTGAACAATAACCTCTTCAAGGACTTCGTCAAGACACTGCTAACAATTTCAGAGTTAAAAAAACAAATACAATCTATTTGTTTATCTTTGATCAAGAAATAACTTTATATAGGATAAACATCTCCAATAATAAATATTTTCAATGAAAACACTTTTTTGTTGTTGTTTTTTCGTTTCATATAAGAGAGTTAATTGAGGCAGGGGAAGACTGTTTCTTCTTAGATACAGAAAACTGTCTCTCACTGAGAGATTTCTTGATTTTGTTTTCTGCTTTCTAAATAGCAGAAACAGCTTACAAACTGACCCTGTTGCGTGACACTGTGCCTTCAAAAAATGCATTCAGATCTTCAGTACTGACTTACTTAAAAGAAAGTTCTGAATAAGCTCTGAAATATAAACATTCTATTTCTCTGGGGCGCTTTCTGGAAGAGTAGCATAGGATTGAGTTAATTAAAAAGTGTATGTTTTAATCGACGTCGTCTCATCTTATGTACGTTCCAGCCTCAGGCCTAGATTCTGAGTTTAGTGGGATTGTTTTGCCCTGAAATTCAGTCAGTGCATTTTGTCTCTGTTTGTATGAATGATCTATCATGTTGATTTAAAATTGTCTTATATTTGAATAGATTTTTAACAGTCTTCCTGAAAGACAGTTGCTCTTCTTAAAATGAGCAATATACCTGGAAAAGGTAATATATTTTTTTCTCAGTTCAAAATCTTTTTTTTTGACTAATTGGTAATAATCCTTAGTTTATGCTCCATGTTAAATACCTCGGTTTTTAAAGATAAGTTCATTATAAAACATATATATACACACGTCTATCTACCTGCACATTTTTGTTAATCTAAATGATTATAAAAATATGCTAAAATCTGATTAAAAGTTGTTACAGAGCCTGCATTTTTTATCATTGTTAATGAGTGTTTCTAGTTTTATAATTTGAAGTTTCTTGCTAAATGGTTTGAATAGAAAGTAAATGCTTAAAATGTCATAATGAGTGGTGGGAAACAAATTTCATACATAGAAATAGAAACATGTTTTTTAAAACCGGGAAATTATCACAATATTGCAAGAAATCAGAGCAGTTGGATAAATGTTGCAGTTAATGTGTTACTCTATTATAAATGCCCACAGTATGCTGTTTGTTTAGAAGTAAATGATAACCTAAACTTCATAGACACTGGAGTGAATAAATAAAACAGTCATTGCAGGAATTGCAGTGAGCTTTGGGCCAACACTGATATTGCAGTTTTTAACCTGACAGTCCATTTAAAAAAAAACACCCATTGCAGACCTGTGGTCTCAAAGCAGGTTTTTGTCAAACACCTCTTGTGGAAGGCTCTAAAATATATTACAAGCCTATAAACAGACTTGCACCACCTGTTTTTATGTCAAAAGTTGAAATTTGCAAGAACTTCAGCACTGATTGTATGCAAATAGCAAAAAGAAATTGGACAGACTGGAATTTATTCAGGATGGTAATGCACTAAACCTGAGCAAAGTGAGTCTCTTAGGCAGCTCACAGGATAAATTCATAAAATGGTCTATTTAATGTGAATATTCTGAAATATTAGGGGTCATATTG